AAGCAGGGAGTGGCTCTAGCTATAAAGAAAGTAAAGAAAAATAAGTAGAATTTAGATAATACTATAGATATAGATATAGAAGTATCTATTATCTCTATAGGGGTAAAAGCTTAGTTAGCCCTAGGAGATATTATAATAGTAAGCTAGATATATATTAAAACTTAGATAAGAGAAGCTAATAATATATTAAAGGAACTTAATTAAAAACTATAGCTATATAAGATAGATAAAGAGAGGTATATAGTTTATAAAGAGATTAAAGAAGGGATACTACTATAATAAGAAGTCTAGAATACCTAGATATATATTATCTAGGAAGCTATTAGAAAGATTAATAGATTTAGTAAATAGAAAAAGAAAGATAAAGTATTATAGAAAGAAGTAGAGGATATTATAAAAATAGTAATAGAAACTATAGAAAGAATAGTAGGGTATTAGGTTTAAATCTAAGAAAAATAGGATAATAATATTATAGATTATCTATTAAGAATTAGCTATAGTCATCACTATGTAAGGGACTTAGTAATAATAATAAAGATAATTAGTTTTAAAATAGTAGCTAAGAGAGTAAATTAGTATACTTTAAATTAGATAATAAATAAGAGAAAAGGGCTAAAAAGCTATATATATATAACTCTATAAAATATTTAGTTTATAAAAATAAAATCTTAGAAAGAGGGTAAGCTTACTAAAAATAAGCTTAATAAAATTAGAGGGAAGCTTAACTAGTTTAGTCTTTTAATATTTTTAGATAAGGATAAGAAGTTAAAGCTATAGCCTCTAACTAGATTAGTAGTACTTAGATAGTTTAATAAAGTCCTTATACTAATTAAAGAAGCTCTGCAGGTCCTAGATAATAAAGAATTAATAGATATATTAATAGAATTAAAAGTAAAGAAAAAGATATACTTAGGAAAATTATATAGTAAAGCTATATCTAATATAGATAAAGATTTAATATCTAGTAGAGATAAGAACTTAGGAAGAGAAGCTTTATAGTAATAATTAAAGAAAGCTAAAGACTAGGTTACTAAAAAAGCTTAAAGAGAGTAAGATAAATATATCTATAAAATCTCTTTAGATYTATTARTAATAATAATTCTTTATATATCTYCTTATAAATTAATATAGAATTTAGTAGTTATATTCTTAGTAAAAGTAAAAGCTATAATAGAGCTTAAGATATATATAAAATATCTTTAAGTTATTARAATARRTTTAAAGTTAAAGATAAACYTACTACTAGATATACTTAAAGAGTATATATAGTAATATATTAAGCTTAGTAATAAGTATATAATACTATAAGATAAAGCTAGATTATATACTTAATTTATAGGTACTAAAGCTCTAAAAATAATTAATTTAGGTACTAATAAGTATAAAGAAGTCTTTTAGATATCTATAGTATAAAGTATTACTTTTAATCTAAGTACTATTACTTATAAATAAATTAAAGAGCTTCTATCTAACTTAGATATAGATTTTCTAGAGAATTTTAATAAAAATAGTTATATTACTATAAATAATTTATTCTCTTACTAGAATACTAAAGATAGAGGTCTTAAAAAGATTACTTTTAATAAGACTAGAGTATATAACTTTTATATACCTCTTAAGAGGGGATCTATAAATAGTTAGCTTAAAAATATATAGTTCTCTATAATATAATAAGCTCTCTAACTTAATCTTTATACCTATCTTATTATAATTATATTATATAATAATAAAGAGTAGAGACTCACCCCTTATCCTATACTAATAAGATTTATAATAGAATAAATAGAGCTAAATTATTTAGAAATATATAGGTATTCTAATAAGTAGTATTACTATAAGATACTAATATATTTAGTATATATAATATACTTAGTAGTAATAACCTAATATAATTAGAGTTAGTCCCTTAGTTAAGGCTTTATATTAGACTTTATAAGTATAAGAAAGTAGTAGGATAAAGATATTAATAATAGAGTTATTAGATAGGCTTTACTAAATTCTAGCCCTCCTATAGAGATAGTTAATAGTATAGGAGTTATTCTAAATAATTTTAAAAGTATTAGATAATACCCTCTATAGCTTATTATTAAAATAGTAATAATACCAGAAATCTATATTAAGAAATTAGAACTTATATTAGACTTTCCTATTATTTTTATAGTAGTGAATAAAAGCTAAAGGGATCTAAAGGTCCTAAGAATAGGGACTATTATAAAGTTATAAAAGTATTTAAAAAATTTAATATTATCTAATACCTAGCTAGATAGATTAATACTATAGTTTTAATTTATTAGTCCTTAGGGACCCTCTGTTTTTCTTATACCTTAAATATATATTAGAGTAGTACTTATTAGTTAACTTAGGTAGGATAATCTAAGGGTTATAAATAAATTAAATATCTTATTTTATAGGCCTGTTAATATTATATAAAAATTTCTATAGAAGGCTATAAATAATATTATTATTTTAGTAGAAGAAATAATAAAGAGATTTAAATCTACTAAGTAGAAGATTTATAGCTCTAACTCTGCTTTTACTTATCTTAAAGAAGGAGTAATAAAGTAGAAATATAATAAAAAAATTTAATAGAGAGATATATCTTTAATAGCTACCCTAAGTAAGGTAAGAAGATTATTAATATAAATACTTATAATTATATCTAAGACTCTAGTAAATAAACTTATATCTATCTTAGATAAAAGAAATAATAATATTCCTCTACTAGACCTTACTAGGAGTGCTAGTAACATAGATCTTAATAATAATAAGAAAGATAGAGATGATATTACTAGTATAGCTAATAATAATAGAAAGGAGCCTAATAAAAGTAATAATAGTAATAAAAAAGGAGATAGTAATAGGGATAATAATAAAAAAGGAGATAATAATAGGGGTAATAGAGATAATATTAAGTCTTATAATAAAGATAGAACTCCTTAATTTAGAAGATCTATTAAGGGTGATAAGATAGTAAGAGAGAGAGGTAATATAGTAAAGAAAGATAGTATTAGTTTTAACTAATTACTTATATCTATCTTAGGGTATAACCCTTAAGGTAGATAACTAGGATAATAATAATATTATTACTAAAGATAGAGGGATCTTCTTCCTACTATATTATTCTTTAGTAAAGATTATAATTACTAATTAAGAAATAAATAAATTACTTTTTATTATAATATCTCTTCTATCTAGTTAAACTTATATCTAACCTAGATATGACCTGGCTTATAACTCCTAATTTAGATGAAGCTTAACCTACTCTTTAGAGTGCTATGCAATATCCCTTGTACATTATTATTAATTAAATTATTATTAGTAGGGGTAAGGACTCTATTATCTTTATTATTAATAGTATAGAAGATAAGTATTATTTCTTTAAGTATTAAGATAGTTAATTATTAGCTATTTAGTATATTATTATTAGTGCCTATTACATAAGCATGATTATAATAATTAGTTTAATTTAATTAATTAGATAAATTCTTTCTATTAGGCTTCTTATCTAGATTTAACTCCTAGTAGTCAGGCTTCTTATAGCCTATTTTACTATAATAATAATATTTCTAGTTCTTCCTGGTTTCCTAAGGAACCTTACTATTAGAATCTTTCTAGTTATTTAAATTAGAATTAGAATTAGACTAATTTAATTAGTTTAATTTATCTTTAGAATTACTATTCTTCTAAGCTAGCTTCTTCCCTTTCTATACTTTTATAATATTTATAGATAATATATTAAACTTTATATATATCTCTTCCTGAATAAGAATCTGCATAATACTATTAAATATAGTGGTTTTCTTATTATAGTAACTATTAAAGTAAGATATAAGAAATATCTTCTATATCTTACTAAAATTATAGAGTAAGAATTAGATCTTAATAGATTTAGGAAGCTACTTACCTTTCTTAAGGCTATAATTAAATTTATTAAGAGCTTAAGATAGTTTTAATATATAATCTTAGACTCTATTATAACTATTATATACTATATTTATAGCTATCTACAGCCCCTTAAAGGACTATATATTAGCTATTATATTATATTTATTATTAAGATAGTCCTAAATAGCTTTAGATAATTCTAAATTAATTACTTTATATCTAATAGTATAAGATAAGATAGAGTATATAGCTCTATAAATCTTATTATCTATCTTCTTCTAATCTTAAATAGCCTTTTTAATTCTCTCTTACTACTTAGTAAGCTTAGCTTTATCTAATAATTTAGTTTAATAGCCTACTTCTAGTAGCTCTAGCTTCTTATAAGTTCTATTTATAGTCTACTAAACACCCTAGCTATATAGGTATATTTTTATAGCTTTAGACTATATTTAGTAGAAATCTATATCTATAAGTAATAATAACTTATAGAGATCTACTTAAGATATCTTAAAGAAAGATTTTAATAAAAGAGATAAGGTTTTAGATATATCCCTTAAGGGAATAAGATTTTAGATATATCTAAGAATAACTACCAGGCTTCTGTACCTATAAGGATTCTTAAATATAAGAATCTTTTATAGGGCCCTATTAATAAAGGTAATAAAAGGATAGTTTCTATCTTAGGTAGAATATCTAGCCTAGATAAATATTTTAGGTAGAATATCTGCTAAAAGAGGCTTTTAAAAGTAAAAAGTAGTAAAAATAGCTTAAGGAAAGAACTTAGAAATAATTTCCTAGAACTCTCTAAGAGGCTCTAGGCTCATAACCTATAGAATAAGTAGAGAGAGGTTCAGAATATAAAGATATTTTATTAATTTATTATATGTAAATCTATGTTTACTATTGTACAGTGGAAGGAGCTATCTACTAAGTGAGATCATATGATTAGATCTCTGCCATACCGAGTATGGCCACAGAGTGTACTCTGTATATAGTAATAGTGGGCTGGGCAGCTCTGAAAACATGTCTAAGCATCATGAAGCAAGAACCAATATATATATTCATTCACAGGAAGGGATTATTCCCCTACATTAGAATAAAATAAACCGCATACTTTATAAATCCACTTTGCCCATCTCAATTACTGTAGCAATGGGCCTGTCAGGACCGCATGCCAAGGCCGTTATCATATCCCCCAGGCGTTGCACCACCATTTGAGCGTTGGGTTCACTCAGAATCCGATTCGACGTTGTCAGGACGATCTGCAGTCGCTGGTCAAAGGGGTAGGTTGAAACTGCGACGTAAGACGGTGGTTTGGGGAGGTGAAACATCCTCATTGTACAAGTGGTACTGCCCACGGCGAGCGGCTTGTCAATGTCGATGTTCTGGTGCGTAATGATGCTACCGAATCGAGTATCCCAAGACCAACGAGTGCTGTGCCGAACAATGTCTCCGAGCTCCAACAGCTCAAATGGTACAGAGTCGCTGTGCTGGCTTTGGACATGGCGAAGCAGATCCAGCAGGGTCCATTCCGCGCTGTACTTGACTCGTACAGGGATGGCGTTAATGCACATCCCTACCATGTTTCCGGTGTCGAATTCACTTGATGATCGGCCGCTAGTCGTTTGGCCAAAGACAATGTCTGCATCGCCGGTCAAGTGAGTGAGGACCAAGGACCAGGCCGCTTTGACGAGGGTCGCGGTTGTTATGCCATGAGGTGGATCAAGGAGAGGGATTGTACACCCGACATCGACCACAGATTCGCTGCAGGCCCTATTGTCCGCCAGCCCAATATGACTGATATAGGTCATGTTCGATCCCTCCAAAGTTCTGTCCCAGAATTCATATGCCCTTGGTGTCCCGGCTGCTAGCCATTTGCGCATATGGGCCGAGTACTCGATCGAATCAGGCAGCTGACAGTCCTCATATAAACTAAGTAGGTCCCTCCACAGGGAAGATGTTGAAATCCCGTCATATTGGGCATGCGAGATACGAACGATGAGCACAGTGCCTTGGCCTTTCCCTTGAGCGATGCAGAATGAGGTAATAAACTCGCGCAGCATAGGGACTTCACGATTGTCTCGGCGGCAGAAGGATTCTGTAAATCGAACCAGGTCACCATCTGCCCGCAGCCTAGGTATGGGAGAAGTGAAGTTGCGTAGCACAATCTGGATAATTCTGTCCTGGTATGGAATGAACACGGTACGAAGGATCGTGTGCCGTTGGACAAGCGCACGGCACGCCGCTTCGAGCCGATCATGGTCGATATGGCGGTCGAAGTCCAGCATGAAATAGTAATTGGGTCGGAGCAATCGGTCCACCTGGCCTTGAGATGCAGGCAGGGCATCATGAATATCGTGGGCGTTGAATGCAAGGCCAGAGAAGTCGATGGCTGCGGTGAAGTTTTCGAAGCTGCTGAAGCCGAAGAGAGAGGCTGGTGCCAGCACATTGGGTGCTGTGTGGGGATCCCCAATGGCCCTCTTGCTGTAGAATCCCGCCAGATCGGATATCGTGGGATACCTGAAGACATCGGCGACGGAGATGGAAATGTCCTGTTTGCGGGCGGCGGTCACCATTTTCATGGCCGTGATGGAGTCGGCCCCTAGATGGAAGATATTATCCTTGACGCCGACCTCAGCAGGACTGAGGTTCGAGACGGAGACGAGGATCTGTTGCAGCCTCTCTTCCAGGCCGGTCGATGGTCGCTCTTTTGCAACTGGGGCAGCCATCAAGTCATCGAATTCAGCTCGAGGCAGCGATGATGCTCGATCCCGAAGCTGTCGCCGGTCTATTTTGCCCGAGCTGGTGGTTGGGATATGGCCGAGTGGAATGAAGATGCTGGGCACCATATACCCCGGCACGATTCCCCGGAGTTGCGCCTGGGCTGAAAAGAAGACAGCTCGGAGCTCCTCATTTGGAACTACAAAGAGGTTGTCGTCGTCCTCGGCGTCGGTGGCTGGCAGATGAACAAATGCAACGAGCACTGAGTTGGCGTTCGTCCCGGAGGGTATAATGACTTCTGCAGCCACATTGTGTACCTGGGGCAGGCACTGCCGGATCTTAAACTCCACCTCACCCAGTTCAATGCGCTGTCCTCGCAGCTTGACCTGAGTATCCTTGCGGCCGACGAACCGGAGTGTGCCATCTGGGTTGTATTGTACCAAATCACCCGACTTGTACACGCGACCTTTGCCTCCAGGACGGAAGCGCTCCAACCAAGGCAGGTCTTCAAGAAACGAAGAGTTTGTTTTTTGGGGGTTGTTCAGGTATCCCCGAGCCAGGACTGGCCCCTCAATCAACAGCTCCCCCACGGCCCCGATTGCTGCGAGCTTTGTTGGATCTGACGGGGTGACAACCCAACCAACTCCGCCCACAATACGGCCAAAAGTGCCTGGTTTCCATCCTTGGTCGGGGATATTCCCTAGAGCACAGATGGTGGCCTCAGCAGGTCCGTATCCGTTGATCAACGTTACTTTCGAAGCCCACTTCTTTACGACATCTTGAGTCACGGCCTCTCCGCCAAGAACAAGCGTCTGCAAACATGGAACTTCGTCAGGATGCAAAAGATTTGTTGCCGAGTTGGTCAAAGTAGCCCATGTCACATTTTGCTTGCGAATGAAAGCACCCAGATCGTTCATCCGGTCGTGCTCGGACATGACGCATACACATCCCCCAGAAACCAGCGTAGTACAGACTTCGTAGATGCTTGCATCGAATGCATAGGAGGCAAAGTGAAGAGACCGCGATTGTCGGTTGACTCCGATGCCAGGTCCGTGATCTCGAATACTCGTGCTCAGGTTGGCGTGTTCCAGGATGATTCCCTTGGGCTTGCCTGTGCTTCCTGATGTGAAGACAATGAATGCAGGGTTGCTCGGACGTACTACTGGTAATGTGGGATCTTCCTCGGCCGGGAGACCGTTGAACGAGTCTGCAGAGACTACCACGACGGTACCGACCATGCTCTTCATCAACACCGCGTTGGACGGATCAACTAGCGCTACCACAGCCTGGCTCTGCTGTATCAAGTCACGGATGCGGTCCGGGGGATGCGTAGGATCAATAAGAAGACACGCTGCACCCGCTCGCAACACAGCGACCATGGAGATGATCGACCACTTGGATCGCTGGAAGCAGAGGGGAACAATCATCTCTGACCTCGCCCCGTTCCGGATCAGATACTGTGCAAGCGTGCGTGATAAGAACTCCAGCTCAACATAGCTGACAGCACCATCCCAGGAGGAGATGGCCATCGAGTCTGGCTGGGATAGACAGTGGGCCATGATCAGGTCGTGTAGAGTGCTGTTGAGAGACGACGGCAGGATTGAATTCCAATCGGCTAGCTGGGAGAGATCAGTAGGACTGATAACTTGCAAGTCACGGATTCTTTTCTGCTGATCTTCGCAGAGCTGGCGGAAAATATTCTCAAACTGTTTCACGTATCGTTCCGCCTCGACCTGGCTGATGATGTCCTTGTCGAAGTTGCATTCGACGAAGATATTTCGGCTGGCGGACGACAACGAGCAGACCAGGACAAAGGCATAGCTGGCAAAATGATCGGACGTACTCAGCGTTTGCTGCCGTGCAAAAATACTAGTGGCACCGAGTTCCTCTGCGAAAGGCTGAATGCCCAGGTGGCTTTGGAAATTACATGCTGCCGCCGCCTCGCTGCTCATCTGGCGAATGTTTTGTATTCCGGTTTGCTCATATGGAATCGCAGCTGTCATATCACTCTGGAGCTTATGGAGTTCGTTTGCAATGGTCTGGTCTGGCTCGATCTGAACGCGGACAGGGATCGTAGTGATTGTTGGTCCAGTCAACCGGTCGATGTCTGCGAAAGCAGCGTTTCGTCCAGTCAGCGTTTCCCCGTACACTACATCATTGGAATCCGTATGATGCGCAATTAGCACCGCCAAGGCCAGACGAAGCAGTGTTGAGAGTGTATAATCGCGGCTCATCTGGCAGTAATCTGCGATGGTGTGTTCAAAGGCCATTCTCGATCTAGATGTATAGCGAGCTGCAGGGAGCGGGGGGAAGGCTGGTGCTCTGAGATCGGCAAATCGGGAGACCCAGAAGCCTTTTTCTGCCTTCTTATCGACCTTCAAGAGGGATTCCACGAATCGACTAAATGGTTGCCGTTGGAGGCCGTGGCCCAGGTAGGCTGCGTCCACCTGTTGCAAGATCAACGATAGCGAAAAGCCATCGTACAGAGCGTGGTGGATCGCTAGAACAAAACATGGAGATTTTCCGGCCTCGACTATCAGCCCCAGTCGCAGCAACGGCCGTCCAATGCCCATGTGCTTTCGGGCATCGTCAGCGAGGTACTCGTCCAGTTTCGCTGCGGTGTGCCACTGGATGGTGCCTTGCACAACTGCTTGGATGAGGCCGGATGTCGTCTGAATTACTCTTGTTCGAAGAATGGGATTTTCGGCCACTGTTGCATCCCACGCAGCGCGGAAGTGGTCCAGATTCACATCTCGTGGGAGCTCAAACGTCATCCGACACACATAAGCGTCTAGGTCCTTGACGGTCATGGCAATGAGGCCTTCCTGAAGTGCTGTGCATGGATAGGCGTCTTCAAGCATAGAATAATCCATTTCAGACTCTTCAATGGCTTTCCGGACATGTTCCCGTGAAGGGTGCGACAGCAGCGAGAAAGGCGGAGGTGCTCTCTGTGCGTTTGATTGCAGTGGACTCATTGTGCAGGCAAGATCAGTCAGCTTGGGATGAGAGAATATATTGGCGATGGTGACTTCCCAGCCTTCCTGACGAGCCATGGCAACCAGTTTAATTGCAGCGATGGAGTCCCCTCCCAGACGGAAGAAGGAGTCATCGAGACCAAGGCTGTCCAGACTGACACCGAGGACTCTGGAGCATAGTCGCTGGAGGATTCTCTCTTCTGAGGTGCGTGCGGCGCGCTTTTCTCGCTCACCAGAGGCCAGGAGAGCCAGATCCTCTCGAGTCAATGACGATGCATTCCGTCGCAGCTTGAGGCGATATGTTTTGCCACTCGCGGTCAGAGGCAACTCTTCGATCGGGATGTAGGCAGTTGGAATCATATATGCTGGCACGAACTTGGCCAGGGCTTCGTCCAAGCCATTGGTAATTTGTCTAACTCTTTGGGCCTTGTAGTCTGAGCTGTGCCGCGAATCGAGACTGACAAAAGCAACAAGCACTGGACGGCTCCCGTCGCATGGTGTGATGGCCTCTGCGACGACGTGAAGCTTATCGCCCATGGAGACACCAATCCGACCATCGTTTAGCACCTGTCGAACGTGACCCTCGACCTCGGTCAACTCAACACGCTGCCCTCGAATCTTGACTTGGGTATCCTTACGACCCACAAATATCAAACTGCCATCCGTGTCGTACCGCACAAGATCTCCTGTTTTGTATAACCTACCCCGCCTGCCAGCCTGCAATAACCAGTCCGGATTGTCAATGAACACCTCAGACGTCTTGTCGGGCTCATCGAGATAGCCCTGTCCAACCAGTGGACCTTCCAGCCACAGCTCTCCGATTCCATAGATGGGAGCCAGGTCTCGGCCATTCTGAGGACTCACAACCCACGTGTTGAGACCTAGCCCTCGGCCGATGTTTCCCTTGGACACAGCAGAGTCTAGCTGGGCAATTGTAGAAACTGCGGAGCATTCAGCCGGACCATAGGCGTTCAATATCCGCGTCACATTGGACCAACGTTGCAGCACGGTCTCATCGAGCGCTTCGCCCGAAGAGATGAAGCATTCTAGATCAGGCAGGTCGTCGGGCACCAGAGTGCGCGCCAGACTAGGTGTCATCTCAGCGTGAGTTGCTCGATATTCCCTCAAGCTACCGAGGATATCCTCCTTTGCTGCTGTGGCTTCGGGTATACAGATACATCCACCGGACGAAAGTGTGTGTAGCACATTACCCCAGGCTACGTCGAAGGCGTAGGAGCCAGCATCGAAAACCCTAGCCCCAGGCCCAAACCGCCATGAATTCCGCTGGTGATGGGCGGCGCTGGCAAAATTACCGTGTGAGATCAGCGTGCCTTTGGGTTTGCCAGTGCTACCCGACGTGAAGATGATATACAGAAGGTCGGACGGTTTGACGACTGGCAGGGGTCTAACGGTCGTCATTCCGTCCAGACAAAACCGGTCGACAACAACTACTGGCACCTTTGCGACTTGTCGTGCCAGGTCTTCGTTGGCCGCGGAAGATAGGATAATGCGAGGTTGAACCTGATCCATCAGAGCTGCCAATCTGGCTGCGGGCTGTGTCATATCCAGGGCCAGAGAACAGCCCCCGGCCTTCATCACGCCCAGCATGGCAATAGGTGTCCATACAGATTTCTCGAAGCATAGGGGCACGATTGTACCTAGATCGAGGGTGTGGACCAGATGCGATGCCAGCCTGGTTGACAGTGTTTCGAGCTCCCTGTATGTCAATTCACCGTCCCACGCGCAGACGGCCGGCGCATCGGGTTGACGCTGCGCAATTGCAGTGATTTGATTATGCATAGTTGCCTCGACCGGGACTGGGACGGAGCCGTTCCAGGTCCAGATATCCTGCAAGTCTTTTGTAGAAGCCATTTGGATGTCCTTGATCTTGCTCTTCTGGGTATGCTTGGTGTGAAGCTCGCGTAGCAGATGCTCAAGCTGTCGCAACATTCGCTCGATATATGGCTTTTCAACCATACTTGGGTCAAATCTGACATGAAGGTGCAATCCTTCATCTTTGCAGGACCACTGGAGGACTAAACCAAACTGGTCGGTAACGTCCGATACAGCATCACAGTCTTGCGCCTCTACAAGCGTCTGGAACTGACAGCCCTGCTCGGCTTCGTCGCTCGACCGTTGGATTTGATGCATGCCCATCCGCTTGAATCTTTCCATCTCAAGGACTTGGTCCTCGAGACCTTCCAGTAGCTGAGCTGCCGTCGAGTGCCAGTCTATAACAACTCGTAAAGGCATTATTCCCCTTGGCGTTTTGGCCAGTTCCGCTCCTCGTCTTCTGGTACAAATGCCAAAGATGACGTCGCTAGTATTAGTATAGCTGGCGTGGAGCATCGCCCACGCAGCGCGCACTGCCGTCGGGGCACTGACTCGGTCGCTAGTCCAGTGGAAACCGGCAAGCAGATAGCTAAGGCTGTTACTGGCCTGCGGAGTGTACGAGGGGCTCGGTAGAGACGGGAAATGCCTTGTGTCCAAGCCCACAAAGTAACGTCTCCAGAAGGCAGCCGCGGACGCTCCATTTTCCCCGACGATGTGCTGGAAGAAGCCAGACCACATTGGTACCTTGCTTGAATTATCGCCCTGTAGAACATGGGCAATGGCCATATCAAGAGCCCAGGCAAGTTCCTGCGCCGTGGAATGCCCAATCAAGTCTTTGTGATAACTGAGACTGAGCTCTGTGGTAGACCCGCTTAACAACGCTCCAAATGCCACGGCAAACTGAAAGAGATCAGCATACGTCAATACCTGGGCATCGGGAGTCTCACCTCGTGCGGATCATTGCTGGCGGCACCTTGAAGAGTCAAAAGATGTTCTGTCTTGCTGCTGTCCACTGCCTCGCGCACCGTTACGCAAGTGTTGAAGAGGGGAAGGTGACCCAGGCGCAGATGGTGTTGAATCTTAGCTAGAGATACATGTTGGTATGCTAAGTGCTCGACCGAGGCGGCAGCTGTTTTTGTCAGCACCTCATCAAGGGAGTCCTCCACGTTAATTCGGCTGATCAAAATGTTTGCCAACGGTCCAACCATTCCGTCAATGTTGTCAATCGGTGCGTCTCGCCCTGATGCCATGTATCCAAAGCAAACATCGGTCATCCCTGTGTACCAATACAGACCTAGAGCCCAGGCCACCTGGATGAAGACCGACCTAGTAATTCCCCGACGGAGGCAGAATGCGTGGATTTCGCTGATTAGCTTTTTATCGAGCGAAAGGATCCCGTGCTCGTCCCTGGAAGACGGCGTCCTGACGTTGCGAACAGGAAACTGACAGATCTGGACACCGGCCAACTGGTTTATCCAGTATTGCTCCCTCAGACCGGGTGGGGTGCACATTAGATGCTGAATCAGTTCCTTGAACGGCGGAGCTGGCGATAGACTGGCGCCTTCGTACGCTCTTGCCAGGTCACTGGTGACGTTAGATGTGGAATCGCCGTCGTTCAAGGCGTGATTCATGTCCAGCCGACACGCGACATCACCATTCGAGGCCTGACATATTGTGAAACGGGTGTTGGGTCGTCCAGGAGCAAAGACTGGATGTCCAAGTTCTTTCAAAGGTTTGACCGGGTCTTCTGAATCAGACTTGATTTTATGGACCTGGATCGAGGCATTGTTAATGAGCACTTGCGCGAACATGCCATCTTCATCGAGAAGGGGCACAAAGACCGTGCGAAGGATCGAGTGGTGCAGAACGACACGTTTCCAGGCTGCCTCTAGCCGCTGTGGACAGACGGGGCCTTTGCTACGAGGCACCACACATCTCCAAACCTGATGATTCATGTACGACGCTGTTCCTTTCTCCATGCTAAGCAAGATACCCGCCTGCATCGGCGTGCACGGATAAATGCCATCCACCGCATGGTGTGCAATCCCTGCGTCGGCGATCGTCTTTTGAAGCTGGTCTAGCCCGTCGTAGGATATTGACAATAGGGGAAAATCGCTCAACGTGAAGCTTGGCGACCCGGTAGCTAGCTCGTGAGAGGCTTGCCTGAGACTTTCCCCAAACAGATTCATCCATTGAACTAGCTGCTCTTGATGCCTCATGTCTCGGTGGAGGCCACAAGCAATATTCAGCCGGCCAAGCCTGACGCCGATGTTGAGTTCTACCAGACCGACTCGCCGAGTAGTGGGTGATGATTGGCTGAAATTCGATACAATGGTAGGGCTATTCACACGAGCCAGCAGAGAGTTATCATTCTCTAGCTGTTGGTATATACCGTCGTAGTTCAGCAGTACTTCAACATTGTCATGCTCCTTGAAGGCCTGTCGTCCAGCTGTTGTGAGATAGCGACTGAGACAGTATGGCAGCCCTTTGCCCGGAACGGAACGACGAACGTCTTTCGCAAACTTGACGATATCCACAATACTATGGCCTGATCCACAAGGGATCTGAACAGGGAAGATGGTGGTGAACCAGCCGACTGTCTCCGATAGGTCGATTTCCACGCCATCAAGAGACTCTCGACCATGTGCCTCGAGAAAGACTGGGGGTGCATGCCGGTCAGCAAAGACCCGGCGGAACGAGTAAACCAGCATGGCCAAAAGAATGTCCGTCAGTTCGGTCGCCAGCCGCTGATTGCTCTGGCCAAGGAGTAGCGCTGTAGTCTCTTGATCAAGACTGAGAACGTGTGTATCAAATTTGTCATGGGTATTCTCTGTATGTTCTACTGCCCAGTATGAGTAGCCACTGGTGTCGATTTTGAATGGTAGCACCTGTGATGGCACCAACGACCGGGCAGTCTCATGTAGCATCCTGGACCAAGCCTGGAATGAGGCTGCTGGACGATTAATACTCTGCTCACGACCCAGCAGGCATTGTTCGAGGTCGTGCCAGATGACTCGCCATGACACAAGATCGACGACCAGATGATGAGCACTGACAAGAAGAATCTGCTCCTCAGAGGGGAGGTGAAATACATCCGCTGCAAACACTGGCCCTTGTCGTATGTCGAGCTGTTCCTGTCGAGATTGCGCAATGGCCTCGATTCCCGACTTGCCAACGCGATGCTCGTAAAACGCAATGATGTTGGGGCTATATCTAGCCACACGCTGCTGCCAGCCATCCCCCTCCGTCCGCTCAAATCGCGCGCGTAGCATGGGATGGCGTTGTACAACCGTTTCCACGGCGGCTTTGATGGCGTGTCCCGAAAACGGACGTTTGATGCGAAGGAAAAAGCTCTGGTTGAAGTGATTCAGGCCCTCTGGATGGGCGTCGAAGAAGACGCATTGCGCCGGAGACAATCCCCACGCTTGTTCTTCTGTAGTGTGCGTATCAAGGACTTTCACCTCCCGTTGAATAGAACTGCAGCAGCTGGCCAATTTCTCAATGGTCTGCGCTCGAAGCACGTCGCCAGCAGTAACGAGGATGTTTCTGGTGCGGCACCGGGAAACAACCTGCATCGCCGTGATTGAATCCCCCCCCCAGTCGAATGAAGGCAGAGTCCACCGAGATTGCTTCTGCCGTCAGATTGAGTACGTCCATCCACACTTCCACTAGAACCTCCTCTTCACGGGTAGAAGGCGCTTTGCGTTTACGCTCCGGGTCATCTGCAATGCCATTACCGAGCTTGACCAATCCAATTTCTCGCAGTTGGCGGCGATCAGTCTTGCCTGTCGACCCCAATGGTATACGCTCCACAGGAATAAAAGCGCTGGGCACCATGTAGGCTGGCAGCCGCTCTGCCAACTTCAAATCCAGATCGACTGTCATTCGATTTAGAGCGGCAACTGTTTCCGGAATGGACAAGACCGTGTTACGAAGCGCAACAAATGCCACCAGTGTTGGGCGGCCCGTTTGTTGTGGCCGGATGATTTCCGCCACGACCTCGAGCTTGGCTTCGTCGAATCCTCCATTCTTGTGACAGACGTCTGCCAGAAGTTGCTCGAAGTGATGCTCAACTTCTCCTAGCTCCACCCGCTGACCGCGCAATTTGACCTGTGTATCCTTCCGTCCGAGAAATTGTAGGGTGCCGTCACCCGTATAACGGACCAGATCCCCAGTCTTATACACTCGGCCCTGGCGCCCTGGGTGACCAGCATGGCCGTCAACCAGCCAGGCTGGATCGGATAAGAATGCCTGTCCGGTATTTCCGGTGTCGTTGATATATCCTTGCCCTAGCAGCGGACCTTCGAGCACTAGTTCCCCCACGGCACCAACAGGAGCCAGCCGACTTGAGTCCGTGGGATCGACAACCCAACATACTCCACCGATCGGAGACCCAATGTTAAAGGGATCGGAGTCTGCCGTAACGCGCGGCTGCACTGTTGCAAGCACACTACACTCGGCAGGGCCGTATACATTGATCAAGCGGACCGTATTACACCACGCAAGGATGTCCGTCTTAGATGGAGCCTCCCCACCATATGCCACCGTCTTTAATGTTGGTACGTCTGCAGGCGACAATGTTCGGAGCACCGAGGGGGTCAGATCAGCCCAATTGGCGTTGTATTCTGTCGCAGCCCCAGCCAGATTGTTTCTACTCTCACTGTCCGACGGGATGCAGATGCACCCACCGCCAATTAAAGTGAAGAGCAAGTCGGAGATGCATACATCAAACGAATGCGAAGAGAACTGCAGGATCCGCACGCCCGAGTCTAGGCCCACCTTTTCGTTATACGCTAGTGCATTCGTCGCAAATGCATTGTGCTGCACCATGGCTCCTTTCGGCTTTCCAGTCGAGCCTGAGGTGAAGACGGCATACAGTGTGTTTTGCGGCGTCGTCGAGACAGTCAGTTTTCCATCAACATGGCCACAGTCCTCATGGCTGCCAACCACTATGACTGTCTTGGCCAGATCTGCTGCCTTGGCTGCCTGTCCTGGTGACGATACAATGATCTGGGCGCTCACATCAGCGCATATATACTGAAGTCGAGTCAAAGGATGGCTTGGATCGAGAAGAACAAATGCTCCTCCCGCCTTCATCACTGCCAGTACAGCTACCGAAGTCCACTTGGACTTCTCAAACAGTAGGGGAACGAGGACTTCTGAGCCAACGCCCAACAGAACCAGGCGGTGCGCCAAGCGGGTGGATAGCACGTCTAACTGCCCGTAGGTTAACTCTCCATCACAGGCATCAATAGCGGTAGCTTGAGGCTGACGATTGACCGTGCAGCCGATAAGCTCGTGTACACAAAAACCAGAGGCTCTCGGTACTTGGGCATTCCATGTCCAGATATCGAGCAGATCATGTGGGCTCAGGATATCCAACTCCTTGATCTTGATAGCCTTGTGTCCTGCGCAGACCTGGCGCAACACACGGTCAAACTGCTGCAGGAGTCGGGTAACTTGTTCCTTTTCCATCACTCTGGAATCATAGTTGATCTGTGCCCGGACCCCGTCCTTGAGCAGCTTGCACTCAAACACCAGAGCATACGGGTCGACGGCTGCTAACTTGGTGGGCGTTGAGGCGGGCATAAATAACGCATCTCCCGGCCCACTCGGGTCAGCCGGATGCACCACCAGCAAGGTCTGGAATCGGCAAGCCTGGTCTTCATCCGCACCGATCCGCCGGATATGCTGCAATCCGCTTTGTTCGAATGGGATGGTCTCAACAACTTGCCGCTGCACTTGCTGAAGAAACTCTCCCAAGGGTCCTATCCCGCTCAACAATCACGCGGACAGGCACCGTAGCGATGGTCGGTCCAGCGACGAGCTCAATTCCGGCCAGTGGAAGCTGGCGCCCTGTCACCGTTGCCGCAAACAAGACCTCGCCGGAGTCGGTGTATTTGGCGCAGAGAATTGACCAGGCAGCTCGGATGGCCGTCGAGACTGTTGTATCACTGCTGTCGATACGGAGCTCCTCGATCTGGAGACTCACTGAACGATCAGTCCTAGGAGAGGATACAGTCGTTGGTACGGCTGGGAATATTGGAGCTTCCAGCCCTTCTAGCTGGTCCTTCCAGAAACTAATCATCGATTCTGGGTTCACCGAGGAGACGGCTCTGATAAAGGCGCTAAATGGGGTCATAACCATCCTCTTCTCGCCGCGGTAGGCTTTATTCAGCGCCTCAAGCAGCAGTGATATTAGCCAACCATCGTAGAGTGCGTGGTGAACCGTCAGGACAAAGTATTTTGCCCCGCAGCCCCGGTCATGGATCAGGCCGAACCGTGCAAGTGGTTGTCCGAGGCCCATTCGCTGCTTGGTGTCCTCTCGAATATACCCATTCAGGTCTGCCTCTACTCTCCATTGGCAAGGTTCGTCAATGACCACCTGTATCATGCCCTGACGGGGAAAGTCCACAATGCGAGTGCGCAATATCGGTGTCGTCGCCACCACGGCCGCCCATGACTGGGCCAGTCGCTCCATGTCCGTCACCCCACTGAGCTCCATTACCTTTCTCGCAATATAATCACCAGGCGTCAGTGCAGTCAAGGCCATTAGGCCGGCTTGCAACTCTGTACATGGGAACGCGTCCTGCACCAGCCTGTCCTCGATGCCACATAGTGCAGCGATCTGCCTCTGTTTTTCATCATCGGACAAAGGCATGTTCAGGAGAGAGAAAGGAATTACTGTATGATCTGCATCCGCACCAGTGGTCTTCATGACCCTTGCCATTTGGTTTAGCTGCGGGTGACTGAAGACGTCTTCCACCATGAGTGAAAGTCCCTGCGTGCGCGCTGCGCCGACGAGTCGCATTGCTGTTATGGAATCGCCTCCCAGTCGGAAAAAGCCATCATGGCCTCCTATTCTCTTCGCAGGGATGCCAAGGACAGATGCCCAGAGATCCCGCAGTTGGTGCTCTGCTGCCGTCTGTGGAATTTTCTTGCTTTCGTCTAATGCCTCCACCACCGTCAAATCTTGCAAATTTACGCTATTTCCTTGTTGGCGCAATATCTCACGGGCAGCCGAGCCAGAGGCGGCTTTCACGGTTGCGTAAGCATGGGGCCTGATAAGCAGTGAGGATATTCCCCGTAGCTTTCGATCAACAGCATTTGCCATGCTTTGGGTGATGGTGGTATCCGATACAGCGCAGAGGAATGCCACCAGTATAGGATGTTCGGTACCCTGGGGAGACATGATGCTTGTAACGACATCCTCAATAGCCGTCTCCCTAACATCAGCCACAGCCACACCGACCTCATGCTCGACATATGCCATGTTTACTCGTCGGCCGTTGATTCTGAACTCCCCGTCCCTCTGTCCCATAGACAACAATTTGCCATCCGGCGAGTATTTGACCAGCTCGCCAGTCTTGTAGAGACGTCCATTGCGGCCAGGATGATTTCGTGTTCCACGCAGCAGCCACGATGGGTTATCGATAATTGGTAACTTTGACAGCTGAGGACTATGCACATCCTTTTCACCTTCGAGCCAGAGTTCTCCAACACATCCTACGGCAGCCAGCGTGGGCTCTCCGTGTGTGGTTAAAATCCACGGACTATAACTGATAGGATCGGTCGATACGGCCATTTGGCGATATGTCAGCGTTCCATCCCAGGCACAACTCCCCTGTCCTGATGGTGCGCTATTCCACGCCCATATATCCGACAAATCTTCTGGCGTGGCCATTGTGATCTGCTTCAATGGCATAGTTGCATCCGCTAACTGGCACAACTGCTGCAAGACGTGCTCGAATTGCTGCCCCATCCGCTGTACCTCTTCTTGGTGCAAAACACGAGGATCGAAACTTACTCGCAGTTTCATTCCTTGTCTGTTCAGTTCACACCGGAACATCAAGGCATAACTTGTAAATGCCTTCAGTCTGCTCTCGCTCCCTTGGTCGTCATCCTGGTCAAAAGTGAAGAGCTTACTTCCAGGTGAAGTCTCCTCCTTGGCCGGTTGAATGAGCAATAGTGTCTGGAACTGACAAGCCTGCTGGCTTTCCTGGCTGATGCCACGGATCCGCTGGAGGCCTGTCTGTTCATATGGGATCATATCTGTTGCCTGTGTGTGGATTCGCTCCTGCAGTCGACCCACTGCCTCGTTCTCGTCCACCATGACCCGGACTGGAAAAGTCGTAAACGTGGGCCCAGGCATGATCTCCACACCTGGCACAGCAGCCTGTCTTCCAATCACGGTTGCACCAAACACTGCGTCAGGACAGTTGGTGTATCGGGCAATGACAATCGCGAGTGCCGCTCGCACTGCAGTCGCCGCCGTGTACTCCAGTCCACCCCAGTTGAGGTGGATGGTGCGCGTCAAGGTCCGGTCTGCCTGTGGCTCCTGCGATGAGTATGGCATGGTGGGAAATTGCAAGCTGTCCAACCCGGCAAACTGTGCCTTCCAGAACTCGGTTTCGGCTTGTTGGTCGATGTGGACAATATGCTTAATAAATCCGGCGAACGGGACCAGCATGGGCTCCTTGCCCAGATAATACTCTTCTGCCGTGTCGAGTATCAAGGACATCGACCATCCATCATAGATGGCGTGATGGATAGTTAATGCCAGATACACCCTGCCGTGCTCGGTGATCATTGCAGATCTAGCCAGGGGTGTTCCCAGTCCCATGACTTGGGGCCCACAGTCAGACTCCCACTGGACTGGCTCATCCACCACCACCTGAGCCAACCCTTGTCCAGTGAGGTCAACGATGCGAGTCCGCAACGCAGGCACAGCTGTCACGGTCTCCTCCCATGACTTCTTGAATCGCGCCATGTCAACCGTGGGCTGAATCTCCAACCGGAAGTTTCTGATATACCGACTGGGATTCCTGCATGTCAGTGCCAGCAGGCCTTCCTGCAATGGTGTACACGGCAGGACATCTTCCACCTGTTCTTCACGAACATCACACAACGATGCCGCTTCCTGACGAGCATTACTGGCCGAAATGCCCGATTGTAGCAATGAGAATGGTACGACATTCATATCGATAGGGTCACCAGCCGTCTTTGCCAGGCGCGCCAACTCGCAGAGTTGCGGATTCTGAAAGACATCCATCACGGTCAAGTGCAAGCCATGCTGACGTGCTGCTGCAACAAGACGCATCGCAGCAATCGAATCACCTCCCAGTCGAAGGAAGCTGTCATCGGCACCGACGTGGTCCTGTTCCAGGTGCAAGACAGTCATGAAGAGATCCTGCAACTGTTTCTCGCGCTCTGTAGCCGGGGCCCGATACTTTGGCCTGGATGCAGCAGAAGCCGCCATCTGGTCCCAGGTCATCGATGCCCCGAGTTCGCGCAAGGCCCGTCGATCTGTTTTGCCGGTCCCCGTCATGGGTATCTCCCGGACGGGGATGTGGACGTCGGGAATCATGTAACCGGGCAATATCTCCTCCAGCGCGTCCGCTAGCTTGCTTGACAACTGGTGAATTGATCCAACTCGCCGCGTCTGTTCGTCCCCAGCCCAGTACACAAACGACACCAGTCTGGGACGGTTGCTCCCCTTGGGTGTCACCTTGTCCACCACCACCTGGGTCGTGGCGTGGTCACCAAGGCTGCTGGATAGGAACTGCTGTATATGGTGTTCAATCTCAGCCAGTTCCACTCGCTGCCCATTGATTTTGACCTGGCTGTCTTTGCGCCCCAGGAACGTGATTGTTCCATCGCTGTTGAACCGAGCCAAATCGCCTGTTTTATATAATGCACTCTCCCCAGTAGATCGAAATCCTCGCCTCCAACGAAGTTCATCAGGGAACAATGCTTCAGTCTCTGTTTGATTCTTGATATATCCCCGACTGATCGCTGCTGTCTCGATGACCACTTCTCCAATTGCTCCGAGCGGCGCCAGTCGATGTGCATCTTGCGGATGGACAATCCAAATCACAGATCCTACTCCACGCCCGATATTGGCCCTATCCGATGTGATGCTCAGGCCCGAGCAAATGCAGCTGATTGCAATACACTCACTGGGCCCGTACGCATTCATAAGCTGCACTCTCTCCGCCCAGCTGGAAAGATGGGTTGCCGACATGGCTTCCCCAGCTAGAACCAGCGTTGTCAATGTTGGCACCTGCTCAGGATCAATAAGCCCAGCTACTGATGGGGTGAGACTGGCCCAGTTAACGCAATGGCGATTGATGAATCCTTCCAGATTGTTCATTCGGTCAATTTCGGAAGGAATACACACTGTGCCATTATAGATCAGGGTGAATAGGATATCACGATGGCTCACGTCAAATGCATAGCTCGCAAACTGCAATACTCTGGATTCTTGATTCAATCCCAGCACTGCTCCGTTTGCCACTGCCCGAGTGCAGAACGCGCCATGCTCCACCATGATTCCCTTGGGTTTTCCTGTTGATCCAGATGTAAAAGCAGCGTACAAGACATTTTGTGAGCTGAAGCCGGGGCAGGTCCATTCATGGTTCTGCGACCAGATCGCCGAATCGGCATCGAGAACAATTATAGTGTCACCCAACGTCTTTGCTTTCTCAATAGTTTGAGGCGTTGCTAAAAGCACTCTTGCGTCGACATCTCGGCAGATAGCCTCCATACGCGCCCGGGGATAGGTGGGATCCAGAAAAACGTAGCCACCACCAGCTTTGATTACGCCCAGCATGGCAATGACAGTCCACTTGCTCTTTTCAAAACATAGCGGCACCAACATTTCGGATCTTACCCCTTGCTTTGCCAGGTGTGCTGCAAGGCATGACGAAAGGTAATCCAGCTCGCCATAAGTCAGCTCACCGTCCCATGAAGAGACGGCAACATGGGAGGGATTGTAACCCTGGTGAAAGATCATGTCGTGAATACGGGAATGTAGTCGGCTTGGTTCGGTTTTATTCCAGTCAAAGAGGAGAGTTCGATCGTGTTGGCTGCACAGATCTAGCTCATTCAGCTTGCCTTTTGGGTTCTGCACCATCTGGGCAAGAGCGTGCGCATAAGTTTCAGCCACACTGAGCGCTTGTTTGACGGACATGATCGAGCTTGAAAACGCCAACGATGCCGTGGCGGCATCCAGGTCCACCTCGAGGACGACTTGGAACTGTCATAGTCTTAGCAGCGCCCCGGAGTGAAGCAAAAGTTCTCACGTTCGACTCATTTCTCGATGCTATCCCACTCCGCCTATGTACAACAGCTGTGTTGAATGCCGATGTCGGCTGGTTTACGATGACTGACCTGGTGGAGGCGGCGGACGTTGATATGGTCAATAAAGAATCTCCCCTGTCAAGAGCCAAGCAGCAAACCCAGCTATCCAGCCCATTGGCATTCTCACTAGGCAGGTCGGAACCAAATATGGGACTGTCTGATCCTGTATAGGCCTGGAGTACTAGGGCCCAGGCGGTCCGATATAGCGAGGATGGTGGAATCCCGTGCGCGGCGCAGAGTTTACGCAAAGTCCCGGGAGACGGCAGGTCGACTTCGATGTGTCTGCTAATTGCTGGTTCACTGCACTGAGCGTTCAGCACGGGGAACAGGCAACTCGTCGCCATTGGCTATGCGCTATCCGATATATCGCCTGTCGACGGCACTGATGGATGGGAGAGATCGCGGTTGAGAGTCCGGATCAGGTTTGCTAAATAGTGTGGTCTATGGGCTTCATGAATTACTCTTCTTGATTTGACTTGGATGATTTGTTCTAATCCTGCATACTGGTTCGTCTGATCCTTCAGCTCGGCTGCACCGTGCACACACTACGAGTACGTACTACGTAGTTACTGGCACTAAGTGGGACCTGCAGATCTCAGCAAGATCAGTCACATTGTGGACCCTCTTAGCGCGATCTTCACTCATCCCTACTTTTGCTTGTGAACGCGTAGTACCCTGTTCCATATCCGCGTCAGTCAGTGACAAATAAATTCTGGGTGCGCACGGGCACACTCACAATACATGCACTCGCTATCACACCACTGATCGCCCACCCGCAGGCCAGCTTGTTTTGCAATTGCCTGGGCATCCCCTACCGTCCATTTGCCACTCGTGATGGCCTCGACCTCGGTCCCTTTCTGCAGAGGAACCCTAAGCCCATTGTATACGAGCTCTGTATCTTTGCTGCAACTGTAATACACCTTGAGCATGCGGTCCTTGACATCGAATCTGCAAGTGCAAGTCCAGTCATGGATGCGGAATGCCTCAATGCCCAAGACTGCATTCGCGTGCCGCAATCCATTCAGGATGAAGTCGTGGAGCGCCTCTTGCCGGTGGTTGTATGCTTCCATGATCCGGCTTTCCTGCTGACAAGCATCAATGGCCACAAGGAACTGGCATGATACCCCCGCAGTTTGCAACGCGCCGACGAACCGGTGTAAGACTGAGCTGGCTTCGGTTTGGCTGTAATTGGCCATGCTGTTCCCCACCCAGAGAAGAGTGACCAGATCGACGGGCTTTCGGCGCCAGGGATTGCGAGCCAGCCATGCAATGCAGTCCTCGTATGTGCCCACTAGCCCATGCACATGGACCCCACTCGATTGTCCCAGGCGAGCTTCTAACGAGGCCAAGCTCCGGGCGAGCTCGCCCGCAGAGACATCGAGCGCGTAGTAATCGATCGACTTGTTTTTTCTCTCCAAAGCCGAGAGAACCGCGCCAGTTTTACGCAAACTCCTATACCGTATTTAGCTCCTTTCACTTTCTGCCATTTTGCATTCTGCCTCTGTGAATGAGTGGCCTTTTTTGCTTACCCACAGCCCAGTTCGATCAACACACTCCCCGATGGGATTCGGTCCGCCATTTCATGGGCATATCGCCCTAGAATTTCCATCTCTTTGTCATGTAGATAGTACGACGGCGACTGGGTCAACGCATTAAATAGATCCAATCCATCATCATCCCAGAGCAATAACGAGGGGAGCTTGAGCGGTGTGGATGAAAGGTCCGACAAAATCTGCTCAAGCAGACTGGTGCCGTCTCTCGGCTGCTGAATATCGCGGAGTTGAAAGGGCATTGTGTGTAATTACTGGGTACTTGGATAATGCCAATGGAAGCATTTATCTTCCTCTCCATATCTTCTTCAGAAGTAAAATAAATGCTGCCTTGTTTTAATTCAGGTCCCCGCCCACATTCCTGTATGTTGATCACTCTCATGTCGATCCATCACATTCGATCTGAAGAACGGCATTTGGTCGGTTTCTTTGACTAACATAATTTGACTTTGCATCGATCTACAGCTGCTTCGAATGTGGTAACTATGGCCCAGCAGACCTCTTGTATTAACTAGTACTTGGGTACGGCTCAATCTGTGGTCATGCTCAAACACAAAAGACACACTTGGACACTCTTTGGCATGCTTATTCCTCCCGTTTCATGAGCAGCAATGTCAATGTACGCCGATAGTCTTCAGATTCACAATGCTAGAGACAGGCCGGACATATGGCAGGACATGAGTCGCCCCGACCACCCGCTAAACGTCTCGTGGCCGGATTTCCTTGACCAAGATCCGACTTTTACTCGCTATTATCCTAAGCTTATTGAATATGAAGAGCTCGCGCAGTATCAGTACGCTATCACTGAGACTGACTCAACCGGCAAGATATCCGCCATCGCCTGTGGCCGATCTGTGCCCTTTTTCTGGCCCGATGATGACCTCGTTGATAGCTCGGGACAAGTTAGCCCTGAAGCGCTGCAACAGCTTCCTTCAGGCGGCTATGATACGATTCTTGCCCGCGGGGTGCGTCAGTATCTCACTCGCCATAACCTCCCCGGCGCAGCAACCGCCTTGACGGAAGACCAGGAGCGCGATCTCTGGGTGTGTCAGTCCCACAATCCGCCCAATGCCCTAGCCGCTATCTCCATTACTGTGCGGCCTGATCGTCGGCAGCGAGGCTTGGCCGAAGCATTAATCCAGTCCATGAAACAAGCCGCCGCTGAAGCACAGCTTCATCTTCTTGTTGTGCCACTACGACCAACCCGCAAAGCCGACTTTCCCACTGTCCCGATGAACGAGTACCTCTCATGGCCCAGTTCCAAGGGACATGGTCCATTTGACCCGTGGTTGCGCAAGCATGTACAGCTGGGCGCGCAGTCCATCAAGATTGCTCCAGCTAGCATGGTAGTCTCAGGGAGTGTGCTGGAGTGGAAGAAGTGGACCGGGTTGGATATGGAGCAGTTCGTACAGAAGATGCGTCCGCAGGATGTCAGGTTGGAAGTCGTGACGAACAAAGTATATGTCGAGATCCCATTCCAAGGAGGCCTTGTGCCTCTTCGCTACTATTTCCTTGAGAGGAGGTGCGTTTATACAGAGCCAAATTTGTGGCTGTTTCACAGCGTCCGCGGTTGACGAGCAATACAATTTCCCCGTGTGCGACATGTCATGGTCATTACTGGTATTTCCTTTCCTTATTTCGGGGTTGTAAGCTGTGAGCAGCAACGTGTTGCCATCGTACTCGAGAGCGGAAATGGGGGTTTACGCTATCGACCAGTGTCTCAGCTCCTCAAAGGCCTCCGTCTACTGTTGAGTCTGGCGGCCTAATCCTTACTCTGGTGGCCAAGGATCGGCCCTGGCCAAGGTGCTGTCGCAACTGGGGAGTTGCATAACTGGCCAAGGGCTGCGCGCGAGGCTTGCGCATGGCGCGAAGGTGCCCACTGGCAGTGTCGATCTGCATAGGGACCCTTTGCTTGCGCTCGTAAACCTCAGGATCTGGGTAGGAATAGTGTAGCGAAATCAAATGCGTGCTTTTGCCATGTGGTGGCGCAGTATGACCAAGCTGACATGTCTTTTGTTTGAGGATGGCGCTGAAGATCAAGAGGACCGCTCCTCACCGACTTTTCATCTAGGAAGGTCCGATTCTTTTCACTTGATTTGAAGCGCGTAAGGTACCTGACAGCCTGACAGGGCCAGCCCCAAGCGAAATGGGTTTAGTTTGAGGACAAAAGTGCGGTAGATGATTATATAAACCCTTTTCCCTCACAACAACAAAAATACGCCAAATTCCACAAGTTATATCTCAACAGTCATGCAAATTAGGATAATTAAAGCTTCTTCATCCATGCCCCAACCGGTCTATATCAATGCTGAGCCGAGTCCCAGGTTCATAGCTAGTGCGTATGGCCGCTCACCTGGCTGCAAGCATGAGCATTTCTGGGTCTTCCGAGTCAATAAGCATGCCCTTAGCCGATTGGTCAGATCATCAAGGCAAAAGATACCTAAATTAGGTACATGAAGAGATATCTGCCTTAAATCGGTAGGTGAACATCATATGGGTAATCAATCAGCTTAGAGATCCCTGATCATCCTTGGAGAGTGGTTTATTTTATGTTAACCACTAATTATGAGCAGTTTGGCAACACACTATTTCACAGCCAGAGTTTATATTTGCAGAATTTAAGGTGATCCTTTGTGTAATCACACGTCATAATATAAAATCATGCAATAATAATGACTAATGCAAGCCACTGTCAACTGAATCACACTGAGTGGTAAATTAGTAATAAGTGACATGGCTAGTGGTATGACCTATCTCCTCCAGCTAGCTTGAGAAAGGAGCATTGAGAGCTGAGGCCTGATTTGCTTAACAGTACTGCTATGAGTACTGTTCAAGTGTGTAGTACTTCTTGGAGCAATGTATGTGCTTCAAAGGTCAATTACCTTCAGATAAATGTGGACGAACTGAGAGGCTCCATATAGGATAACCTATTAATGCTGGTGCCATCAGGTTTTTTAGCACCCAGTAGAATTCATGCAACTGGTGTATCAATATGAATGTTCAGAAGATTGGACTTAATATGCTTGGTTACCTACTATTACTAATGCCAGATCGTCCAGCTTGTATGTGCGTGGGCCTGAAGAAACCTGAGTGGGTCTTATTCAGGCATTACTGGGTGATACTGTTGCATTCAAGCAAGACATATGTGTTAGCTAGGTCTAATATATTGTTCTTAGGCGCTTAACCCATTCCTAGGATGTGTGCAACCTGTTCACAACAGAGTGCTGCGGATTTGTATCCTCCTGCTGTTCTATATCATACCTCGGCATGGTATAGAATACTATGTTTTGATATGAAGACCAAAGTGATTAGCTTTGCGGAGACTGCCACAAGCAAGACAATATAGAAAGCAATGCTCAGCGCGGATATAATTAAGCAGTAGTACTAGACAAGCTCTTATAGAGAGAAATCACACTGCTTTTTGCAGATATACGCCCAGGCTTGTCAGCTATCATCCCTTTCTCCCCCTAAGTTTACTTTATAGCACACTTCCACACACACCTATTCCAGGACTGCCAGCCCACATGTCTTCCACACCATCAGAGCTTTACATACATGTTAACATTCATATGTGACAAAATATCAAAGCCAGGGTAGCTGCTATATGTAACTACAAAATGCACCCTAGTACATCCCGTTGTGCTTACACAAAGTCCCAGACAAGCATCAAGAGAATTAAAAGCCTAGCATAGTGAATATAGGTCATATAGGTATTCGGCAAAGCCGAAATTAAGTAAGTACCATTCTCATATTTGGAAAGGAGGCTACCTACAGAGTACTAGAAGGAGGAAGTCTGCGCCATCCCAGCTGCTTGAATTGATGGTGGTTGGTACTATTCGTGCATTAGAGATAGTAATCCAAAAAGCTCCGTGGGAAGATATATGCCATACGCAACGAATTCAGTTTCGTGATCTGAGCTTGTAAATTCACCGCATTATTCTGATAGGCTTGTCATGCATTATTGACCCACGAGATGTATGCTGGCCTTTTTTGAGTGATCCTGGTCCTTGAGCCAATCCCAGCATGGCCTCTCCTGGCACATCTGCAGACGCCTGATACTGAAGGTACCTAGCACCAAGGGACTCAGCTACGGCTGAATATTAGTTGCTCACAGTTGTCTTACTTCTGCTGTTCTGCAGTCTGCACGATCATCATTGATGAGCCTGTTGGAGCTTAGCTGTGGGTCTCGATCGACTCAGTCAATAGTTCACTTAGTGTTCAATAGTCCAGCTGAGATTGACAAATGACAACTCATGAATATTCCAGTGATAATCACAGAGATGCGCCTGCGGCCCGAAGGAAGGAATGTTGTTCCCTAATCATAGGGCGATTTTCCTTGGTCGCATGTTTGGAGTCCATCTCAATTTCTCAATCGTATTCCTGAAGGCTGTTCGTGGTAAGATCAGCTGGATGCTGGATGAGCTAGGACGATCTTCATGCAAGGTGATATTGCCTGCAGCACGCAGGATACACACCTTCTGGGCCAAAGTCCCAGAAATAAATAGCAAGACGTTCACTCAAATTTATCCTCCTCAGCATTACACGGCGCATTCTCATGATGATCCTCACCAACGCCATTTTGGTGCTTAGCACCTTGCTCCCTGCTACTGTCCTATGCCTCCAACAGACAGAGGTAAACATCTTGCCATTCAACTCGCCGTTCAATTCTTCTTCGACTAACCCTTCAGGACTCTCTCTTCCCCGCCAGATGCTGGCCCGACCCCTGCGCCGGCATCACCTTCAAGAACGACTCGTACGTCTGCGGAGACCCACGCCTCGGCCCCGTCGTACCACCCCGGAAATTCCCCCTCCATAACGAGCTACGCACCTACGCAAGGTTCGGCGCCCTCTGTCCCGCCGAGTTCCTAGATAAATGGGCCACCGACGTGGCTCCAAACGGGACATACATCTACCCGCCCGCCAACGGCTTCGTCGTCGACACAGAGAAGCACCCCATCCTCGGCAACGCGACCCTCCCCGTGGGCATGAAGCTCGACCGATTCGGGTCGGAATATGGCAGCTTCCTGGCGCCGCTGGGAGCACCGTACATCGAGCGCTCGCTGCCGCCGAGTAACCTCAACACGTTTGACGGGAACTACCCGTACAATTACCATGTGTACCAAGTGACCAAGGAGTTCGTGGTTGGTCTCGGGCCCATTGCGCCTTGGTTTGAGCAGCCCGGGATGGGGACGCAATTTGTGACGTATACCAATGTGGTGGGCTTGATTAACGGGGGATTTTTGAGACGGTTGAATGAGTCCGAGTATGATGAGAGGGTGGAATACTCGAATCCGTATACTCCGGGGCCGAATCAGTAGTGCATGCACTTACGATGATAGACCTTGTTGAGATATCTTAAAATGATAATACATTCATCTGGAATGATAATGTCGACAGCATTCGTCAACCCGCTAAGATGGTGCAATAGGACGTCGGGATGACCATCAGATCGGATAAGACCACTCGCACCCAATAACCCGGCAGAATACAATAAAGATATTTATATCCAAACGATGGTGTCATTTAGCGATGCATGGCGAGTTGTCAACCCCGCAGAATATGCTCCCAATACATACATTGCGAGTCGAGCACACCATCAGGATGACGAATCCTGTGTGATGCTCTCGGGTATCGGCACCGATGGCAGTATAAATATATTCTATTCCCCGGTCAATGAGTTTATTATCATCAAGCAGCTTGGATAGTTTCAAAGGCTTCAGCGAAAACAATGGCACCAACTCTGGAAGAATCCACCCTTGTTCAGAGGACGATCCCATCCAAAGAATCCCAAGAATCGTCTAGACTCCAGCGAGAACCTCTCAAGCTGTCCGGAGTACTTGACCAGTTCGAATCATTCGATGTGACACCAGCTATCGGCAGAGAATATCCTGCCGTCAGCCTCAAGGAGTGGCTCAGCGCTCCCAATTCCGATGAGCTGCTGCGAGATTTGGCCATCACGAGTAAGTGGCTCCGTTATTCGCAGTTACCTTATACTAATACAAGTGCAGTCTCCCAACGGGGCGTGGTCTTCTTCCGCAAACAAGACGACCTAGACAACGACTCTCAGAAAGAGCTCATCCACCGATTGGGTCTGCTGGCAGGCAAACCTGCCACGTCGGGCCTGCACATTCACCCAGTCAGCAACGCCGGACGCGAACACGGCGGCAAAGACGATGAAATCAGCGTCATCAACTCCGAGCAGCGAAAGAAGTTGTTCAAGGGGCGGTACGCTACCAAACAGAGTCTCAAGGGCGGCTGGCACAGCGACATCACCTTTGAACCTGTTCCTAGTGACTATGCCGTGTTACGTTTGACCAAGCTTCCTAAGACTGGGGGTGGTAGGTAGATCCAGTAGATTGTCGTAGGGACGTGCTGACCACAATAGACACCCTCTGGGCCAGCGGCTACGAAGTCTTCGACCGCATCTCCGAGCCATACCAGCGTTTCCTCGAGTCGCTGACCGCCACATATGCCCAGCCAGCATTCAACCAGAGTGCCAAGGATAATGAATTCGAACTCTTCGCTGGCCCGCGCGGTGCCCCCGAGAATGTAGGCAGCGAGCTCCGCGCCGAGC